AGTAAGAATGGAGAAAAATGTGCTAACAGCAAAAAATGGTGAAATGACTGCCATATTTTGACTGCAGTAAAAACAAATAGCAACGCGTATTAGATTAACCGGTGCGATCATGCGTTTTATGCAGTACAGCCCATCGAATGATTGCCTATTAATGATTTTCACTGCTTTCTACTTCATGGAAAATATCAAACAGTTAAAAATTTCACGCACCAGCGCATGAAAGCTGAATTCGAAACCTTGAAGGGTGAATATCTTTCTGTGGTCCCGAGTTAATAATTTACCCGCCAAAATTTTCACGGCCGTAGGTGATACCCGAGAGCGCGGGAACGCTGAATTTGAATGGTTAAGGTTGAGCGCAGGCAGGGGGTCACTATCCTAAAATTTCAGCTTCTTAGACTCCGTGGTTCCCGAGACATCAATTTACCCGTAAAAAACTTTCACGGGGCCGTACGTGCTACCCGCGGGTACGGGGAAGTTGAATTTAAATTTGCGGGGTCACATGTGGGTGGGAAACATTCGGCCGTACACGTTACCCGTGGGTACGGGGAAGCTGAATTTAAATTTGTGGGGTCACACGTGGGTGGGAAACGTTACCCTAAATTTTCAGCTTCCTAGCTTTTGTGGTTTCCGAGTTGAAAGTTGCGGACAAGTTGCTGCGGACATACACACACACACACACAGACAACCCAGTGACAATATGCGTTTTGTACTGCTATTGCACAGCACAAAACGCAACAAAACGGTTCAAAAATGCAGCGGAATGACCAGAAAACAGCGAAATGCCCAGATACAACATTGGAAAACTACGGATAACACGTGAGCAAACTCGACCGAAGAGAAATACCGAACAGAGATCCATCAAAAGGAGGGAAAATTTAGTGCGAAAAATACAGAACTTATGTCATGAGGCAACGGACCGCTCGAGAAAGTTGAAAAACTTCGTGGGAGAATGAAAAACGAGCCTGAAAATGCCGCTGTTGGAGTGGAAGGCGCAGAAAAGAGCGGCGAGGAAGAAGGCGGAGAAGGAGGAGGAAGAAGAGGAGGCAGAGGAGGAGGAAAAGAGGGCAAATCCATACCAAAGCCAAGAAGGAGAAGAAGAGAAACGAAAAACAAATGAGGAACACCCAATAATTCAAAACTGCCCCCTCCGTGCAAAATTTAACGCACCCTCCTGTTATTTACCAGCTGAACCACCGCAGCAGATGAGGAAGGAGGAAGAATGGACGGGCCGGGAAGGACGGATTGCTGAACGTTGCGTCCAGCTCCTCGTTCGACATTTGTAGACAAGCACAAGCACCTTTATTTATAGGGGAAAAGCAAATGAAATAACTTTACATGGCATCGGTATTTATAGCCTCAGCTATGATTTGCATAGAACTGAAAATGATCTATTCGCCTTATATGTATGCATTTAAGTACTTATGTGTCAGCCAAGTACATCAATAACCCGGTGCGATCATGTGTTTTT